CCAGTTGAATGTTTAGGAACCATGTTATTGGGTTGTACTAGCATTTTTTTAAAAAGAAAAAAAATACAATAGGTAATAAAATACATTACTTGAACTAAGAGCAATATGAATCTTTTGTTTCCTCTGTGCGTGTATGTGTGTGTGTGTGTGTGTGTCTGTGTGTCTGTGTAGTCACATTCCAGTTCTAGATGTTGAATCAGGTCCATGGAGCAAAAATCAGTTCGCTGAAAGTGAATTTGCCCCAAGCCAGTTCACCAAAAATCAATTCCACAAATAATCTATTCACTGACACATCAGTTTATTTCTCTTACTGGAAATATTTCTCACATTCTAGTTTCCTTTAGCTACAGATTTATTAGACTTGTCAAACGACTATCAATTTTGGCCACCACTCTCACAATTTAGATTCTTCTGTCCGTTCCTTCCCCTGACCATGTGGATGGCTCTTGTAGTAACACAACTGCAATCAATTTTCTAACAAATTTTAGCACATTTATTCCCCAATAATTAATTTTAAAAATCTTTAAAATAATATCATTAACCAATGTTACCCCAATACATTTAATTTAAATTTTTTATTTTAAAAATTATATTTTTTAAATTTCAGCAAATTTGTCATTTAGCAAACTGACTTATAGCAAACTGACCTGTGACCTGCTCTTATAGCAAACTGACCCTCTCTCCTTAGGAAATACATTTTCAACCATTTTCATTCATAAAGGCCTCTCTGTTCTCTGGTCTCTTGTACATTTTCGCTTTGAATCACACTGTACATTATGATATGCTATTCTCTAATTCTTTATACCACATAATAGTACCATAATATGTGGGTATAAACTATGATATATGTATACCATATGTATGTGTGTGACTGCAAACTTTGGAGTAAGACTGTCTGGGTTTGAATCTGACTCTGCAACTTAGTAACTGTGTGACCTTGAACAAATTACTAAATCTTCCTGCACATTGCTTTCCTGATTTATGAAACGAGCGTAATAAAGGTACCTACTTTGTGGGGGCAGTGAGAGGAGTGAATAAATTAAAATATGTAAAGTACTTAAAATAGTGTCCGGAACACAAAAACTACTGTATAAGTGTTAGTTATTATATGTCTATATAAAATAGCATATATAAACAACTTGTAAATAAAGTAACTTTAGAATTACAGATTTGAATTTCTTTTTACTTATCAGCTATTAATATTCAAAGTCTAATGTCATCTATTAAACAAGAACAGTTTATAGAAAAATTACTATATCCCCAGCTATGTGGTACTGAGGGGGCAAAAGTGGTATAAAACGAAGGAGTTTACAGTATAGTAAAAACAATACTGACATGAAGCAGTTCATGCGAATGACAGCCTTGTACAAATAAAGTGCTAAATTCTACAGTTACATAATTAGAAAACAGTGCAGTATATAATAATGTGTTAATTGTAGGAGATGGACAATGTGTGCAATATAATATTAATTATATTAATTATAATATAATTTTAATATAATTATATTATGTTGTAATATAATTATAATAAATTATAATTTTCTCTAAGTACACACTATTCTCTTAATAAACCAACTTGAGATTGGCACCTTAGTGTCTCTCCTCCACAGCAAGCCCTAAGCCTTTTCTAGTTTTTCTTTAAAAAATTTTTCTTTCAATTTTCTCCCACTTTTTATCCATTTCCATCCTCTCTCTACTAGAGTTCAGTTGTTCCTGGATTATTGCAATTGTTTTCTGGGTGATTTTCCCAGCTCCTCACCCCTTCTCCTCTTTCTTTTTTCTTCCTTCCTCCCTCCCTCTTTTCCTTCCTTCCTTTCTTTTTCTTTCTCTTTTTTTTTTTTTTTAGTTTTATAAATAAAATTAGTTTAAGGACTCAAATAGTTTAATAAATTTTTATGAAAAACAATGGTTCCCTGCCTTCCTTCCCACTATTCTCCCCTTATTAAACAATTGTCACCTTCTTTATCTGCTTATTTTTATGTTTATCTTCACGTTTCTTTTAGCAGGCTTTATTACCACTTCTTGATTATTCAGGTTAGGAATTCTCTGATGTCTTTCCACCAGAATAGAAGAGGATTTAATTCCCTTTCTTTCTTTTATCCTCATCATACAGACCCTATCCTCCCAGCAGAGTTAAATTATAATTTGGGTTATCTAAGAATTCAGTGTTTATGTTATTATGGTCATTATTCACAGTTAATCTATTTTTAAAAAATTGTTTTCTCCGAAGGTAGTGTAAGTTGTTGTTGTTATTATGTTTGGGGCTCCTAAATATCTTAATCCAGTTCTGCTCCTCAGAGATAGTTATTAATTTATCTTTTAGAAGCTCAGGATTTACCTTCAACCACTATATACACAGAAGTTTTGTTCCCGGGAATGTATATTCATCAAGATTATCCCTGCAATGCAACATTTCCTTTCAAATGTTAACGTCCGGTGTCTTGCACTCCTCTGGAGGATCTAGTAAGAAAGCAACTTCATGCATTTCAATCCTCAGAATTCCCAGGTGGCCGACACCTGCAAATGTCCTCCTTTGTCCATAAGTGAACCCCCTGGGGTACTTTGTAATTCAGGCCTCACAATGAACCTGCCATCAAAGAATCCCATCAAACGTGCTCTTGTTGGTCTTTTCCTTAAACCTCTTACTTGTGCTGGTGACTACTCTTATCGCATAACATGCCACAGTAGCCACCTGAAAATCTCTGCTTATGTTCTTACCTTCTCCCCATCTAGCCTATCAGAAGATTGGCTGACCCTTTGTTAATTCCTCTGGTGGGAGATAAAAAATTTGTTTTGCTGCAAGTTTTATTGCACTGAGATTGTGGAACTCCCCCCACTCCCAGCCAGGCTAATACTTGAGCACCTTTCCAATAGATATGATTTAAACATTTGGTCAATATTCATCTAGTGGGAATGTAGAACAAACAATGCTCTACTAATAAAAACTGAATACCTCAGTTTATTTTCAAAATACTAAGAGTATTCAAAAGTGGTATAATACAATATTTATTACGTGCATTAATAGCAGGTTATCTTATTTGGACTTGTCAGTCATGTCAGTTTTCTGTCACTTTTACTTGAATAGCCTTGGTCATTTACGTTTGCTACGGATAAGTGGACATTGTTACAAACTCTGTTCAAAATAGACACGGGGGTCCTTTCCACACACCACAACTTTTATATTAGCAGAACGTGATCCACTTTTTTCGGCTTCTTGTCAGCTTTTATGGAAAGTCTTTTTGTTATTTTTCTAAACAGATAATTTCTTTAGATATATATTATATGGTTTAAATTTAAGAAAATAAATCAGTTACAAAGACAACTATTAATAAAGTATTCTATTTGAATTCCCCACCAAAAAGAAAAAGAAGGGAAGGAAGGAAGGAAGGAAGGAAGGAAGGAAGGAAGGAAGGAAGGAAGGAAGGAAGGAAATAAGTCAGTTTCTCATTCCAAGTAAATCCACTCATTTTGTATCACTTGCTTTCAGAATTTTAGCTGACAGTCACAGAAGGTGTCTGGCAGCCACTGGCCACTGGCCACTGGTCTCAGGGTTTGTGCTGTGGTGGCATCAGGGAACCTGTGCTCCTTGGGACATAAAAATAGTCAACAGAAATAGTCTAATGCCTGGTGAGAAAAAAATTTTTGTTTATAAATTAAAATTTACACTCTACCTAATTGGAGAGCGAAACCAAGTGTATATTTTGTAAATTATGAAAGGAGTTGTGTGTGGAAAATTTATGTGGAAAAAGTTAAAATATATCTATATCTCACAATTATCATTTGTATAAATTAAGAATATACATATATTCTTAATATATATATGTGTGTGTATATATATATATACATATCTATAGCTAAAACTATAAAACATAGGTGTATGTTCTATAGTTTTTTTTTTAAGTGAGGCAACCCTTGGTTGACCTCACAGATTGCAAGGACCTTATCAGCTTACAATCCCTTATTTTTTATTTTTTACGCTTATAACACCTATAGGCGTAAAAAAATTACATTTATTTCAATAGCAAGTGCGAATACACCAAATCAGTTCACAAATTTTCAAGATGCAGCTTAAGTATAATAAAAACTTGTTTTTCAGAGGTGGCTCCATGGCGTAGTGGTTAGCACATCTGCTTTACACACAGAAGGTCCTAGGTTTGCACCCCAAGTGCTCCAGGCCCCAGGTGCAGGTGTGTCAGGCTAGGGCGGGGGAGGAGACACCCTACCTTCAGAGATCCAGTTCTTAAGGGGAGACAGTAACATTCAGGTCAAGGGTGGAAGTGTGGGGGGAGGGAGGAATTAAAAGAGGGGGAAATAAAAAATCCTGATTTTCAAAAATTAAACAGTAAATGGCAGAAATAAAGCTTCATTTTAAAAAAATTCAAGAAACTTGAAAACATTTAAACTAAAATACTCCATTTACATCAATTCAGAATTGCTTTAATTTATAGATGCCAGTAGTACACTGGGACCTGAAAGGACTTCTTAAAGAAAATCACCCCAGCTCCAGACAAGAATGGAAATTCTTGGTGTTGTCTATTCTTGATTTTGCATCCCCACTCATATTGCATCAGATGATGTCATTCAACCCATATTTTGATCTTTAAGCAAATTCTAAAAAATGTTTAAAGTTCAAGATGAGGCCAACATCCACTATTAAGAGTTTTTGAAATGGCCACTATATATTTTAAAGAATTAAAGACCAATTTCAATTTTAGGCCCACAGTATTACTGAGGGAAAGACATAAATTAATCCTTCTTCCATTTACTTTATGTAAACCTTTCTGTAAAGTTAAGAACATGGCCTTTAAAATGTCCTTACTTATTTCTACATATACGAAACTTGAATGGAAAGTAGAAAAAGTTCCCACTAGAAAGATAAAGGTTATTTTTTTTTCATCGTTTAACTGCCAAGACACATGTTTATTTCTACTCCCTAGAAGCAATGTTAACTACTAGTTTTAATTCAGGAAAAATATGTATCTTCAAGAAGGTTTACATATTTATTCAGTCTTTTTCTCAATCTTCTTCATCTTTTTAGTGTAGGCAATAAATTGAGAGTCTGTTCCAAAAATCCTATCCCACCATGTGAATGTTGAAGCATAGTTGCTAATGAAGGTCATGTGGTGAAAATCACGATGCCAGGAACCATCATAAAAAGGCATGAGATTTAAAGGGTTGAGAGGAATATCCTAACCACTGTGGACATCAATAGTTCCTAGCAAATGAATGGCCATCCATGCCCAAAGAACTATATGATCACATAAAAGAATAATTCCAATGAAAAATCCAGTTCCAAGAATTAGAGTTTCCAGGGGATGTGCATATTCAGCTTCCATCCCAAATGGAGCCTGAAACTCATGATGACTTTCATGAATATATTTATATATTCTTTTGTCGTGTAAGAGTCTATGTACGAAATAGTGCCAGGTACCTTTAATCATCGCACAACCAGGGCATCTTGCCAAAAGCCTATACCATCTTGGCATTCTTTCCCAATCCTAACGAATGTTGAAATACTCTAAAATAAGTTCCACAAATCAAAGGAAGATGGATACAAAAGGATTAAAGGGAAGTACTTAAAAGCATTTCCTTTGGACTTCCCATGTTTCTGGTTTATCCTTCTGAATTTTATACTTTTTCATGTAAAGTATAAATTGAAACAAAAATCCAGGTAAACTGAGCAAGAAATAAAGGGCCTCATAAACTATCAGGGATCCCCATATTGCAATCTAGAACTTTGTATAATTATCTAACATATAGTTCCAAGCATTTTTCAATGGTTTTTGCAGAGGATTCTCAGCTAAAGGTAAAACTGCATAATCCACAGTCAAGGATGCTGAACCAAAGATGCTGACACTTTCATTTATTGCCATTTTTCAAATCTCTGCAGACAGCTTTATAATTCTAAGAAATTCTCTTCCTGACCCCTCACCTGGATGATTGTGTGGAGACTGTTTTATAATCATTTTTTAGATATGGCATCAAAAGTACAAGCAACAACAACAACAAAATAGACAAATTGAACTTCATCAAAATGAAAACTTTTGTGTTTCATGGGACATTATCAAGAAATTTTAAAAAAAAAAAATCCTGATAAGTAATTTGTATCTAGAAAATATAAAGAATTCTTTTAACACAATAATAAAAGACAACCAAATGTAAAAATGGGCAAAGTATTAGAATAAACATTTCTCCAAAGAAGATATACACCAAAAGCCACATACTGTATGATTCTCCTTAGTAAAATGTCGAAAAGAGACACATCCATAGAGACAGAAAGCAGATTAGTGGTTGGTTGCCAGGAGCTGGGCAGAGGGGGTTTGCAGAGTAACTACTTAATGGGTACAGAGTTTCATTGGGAATGATAAAATTGATTCTGGTGATGGTTGCACAACTGTGAATATACTAAAAACTATTGAATTGTACACATTAAACTAGTGAATTGTATGGTGTATGAATTATATCTTGATAAAGCAGTTACAAAAAATACATGCAGACAAAATGATATCTGTTTTGTAAAAACACATGCAAATGTAATCATACATGTTAAACACATCAAATACATCAGAATGGCTATCTATGAGGGAAGAGAGAAAAGGGAGTGAAACATGGGTATAAAGGGTATAAGTAAATGCAAAATTTAAAAAGAAAGAGGGAGAGAGAGGGGCATTGCACCATCTTTGATAGCGTATCATCAACTGAGGTGTACGATTATCTCAGCCTTCTATATCTGTGTTTAAAAAGAGAAAAGACAAAAATTTCAATTAAGTTTAATTGCACAATATTTTCAATATTTTGAGTGGTAGATGTTTTCGGTCTCCCCAGAGACTGACTCCTTGAAGACATATAAATAGCCAAATAGTTTTGACTTAGTGTTGTCTTAACATCAGAGCGAGGGAACTCTCTTGCCTAACTGGTCTGCGGCTTGCTTGTCCTTCAGTGTTTCTTGGTTAAATCATGAAATTTTCACATACAAAGTTTTCTTCTGCAATGATTTTTTTTCTTTTATGAAAGCATTATGTTTTAGAGTTTATACCACTGACCATGTATTGCTTCTGTCTGCTTTGTATTGTTTTCTTATGTTGCAATTTATGTTTTAATGTACTTAAGCCTTTTCTTCCTTGCTAAATTATAAATCTCTTCAAGGCAAAAACCTTACTTTATGCTTTTTATATTCCCCGTAGTAACTGTAAAGATTTTTTTTCATATAACGGGGACTCAGTAACATTGATTAATTGACAAGTTGGTTGATAGAGTTCTTGGATATACTAAACTGATTTGGAGTCTCAAAAAAAAGAAAAGGAAAGTTTTTCATAAAGGTCTCAAGTGGTATTTCCTACTGTAGTATTGCATGTGATTCCTTTAGTGCTTTTTTTTAAATCAGTATATTGACCTTTTAGATTTATGTGAATTTATGTGAATATATACGTTCTAATATCTTTATGTAACTTGAAAACAGGTGACTTATGATTTGCAACATAACAACTGAACGTTTCACCCACAATTTCATTGGGTACAATGCAGAATATCACAGAGAGACAGTCTCTGCTCTCAAAAAGATAGCTGAAACAAGTTTATAAAAATATAAAGCCCTTTGGTAAGATTGCATGGGCTTAAAATTAATTGGTTTAAAGCCATACTCGTAGTTACAATTAACCTTTTAGAACCCTAAATGAGCATATTTTTACATGACCTTTATTTGCAGAGATCTGTAGCATTGGCTGGGAAAGGCATTTCGGCAATCTTATTTTAGTCATTGCACCATATCAAACACAACAAAAGCTGTCCTGAAGCTGAAGAGTACAGTCTTTTCAAAAAGGGTTCATGCAGTGTATTGAGAAGGTCGTAGGTCCAAATTCCACTGATGTCTTACATTCTAGTTTTGTGGCAGAGGAAGAGAGAGTGTAAATGAACATTTCAAAGTTAGGCTTCAGCCATGTGGGGCTATTCATTCAATTACTTGAGTGTCTGCTATTTCAGACTAAAATCTGAGTCCAGAAACCAGTGAGAAAACTTAGAAGCCCTAGTAGCTTTCTCTGTCACTTAGATTAAAATAGGGCTCGTTTCCTTAACGAGCCCTTTAGCTTTATTGATAGCTGAGGCAGTGCAGGACTACTCAAAAGATTATGATATGCTCAAAGCATCAACAAAGTAAGGGCACCCTCTCCCTAAAAATAAAGTTAACTTTGACATACTTTTCTAGAATTTTAGAAATTCTGAAATATAGAAAATATAGAAATATAGAAAGAAACTCTTAATTTCAGCATGCATGGAAGTTTTGTGTCATAATAAAATTTTGAATTACCAATGGAGTGGGAGGACTCCGTAATCTTTTCAATGTTTATGATCACCAAAGGGCCCTGCTGCAAGAAGGCACACATTATATATAGAAAGTCAAGTGAAAAATTTCTAACTCCCCACACATAAATTGGACAATCTAATTTCTGCAGGTGAAATTAAGATAATATTTTTTAAAGATTTTTATTAAAATGTAGCTAACATATGATATTATATTAATTTCAGGTGTACACAATGGTTAGTCAACATATCTATATCTAAAGAAGGGATCACCATAAGTTCAACAACCATTTGACACCACACGCTATCACAATATTATTGACTGTATTTCCCATGCAGTACATTCATCCTCATGACTTACTTGTTCTATACCTGGAAATTTGAATCTCTTATTCCCCTTCACCTTCTCCTTTTTTTAATTTTTCAATTACAATTGATATTCAATATTATTTCATATTATTTCAAGTCTACTAAGATAACATTTTAGAAGCTGGGCACATGGGAACTTTGTCCTACCAGAAAGAAATCAGTTGGAATTATGGCCTAAGATGTGCCTGAAAGCCAGTTATCCTGTTTCAAATATCGAATGTCTAAGTAAGTCACTTAAGTCCTCTAAGAAAACACTGAACAGCCAATTCCGGGTTTATTTAACCAGTGCATTCTAGATGGGGATAAATCATGGTCTTCTTTTTTCCCTTATAGCCTTCAAGTTCATTTCTACATAAGATAAAGATATAGAAAATTCTTTTTTGAATTTTAAAAAAGAATTCAAAACCACTTTGAAGTGTTTTATTTATACATTTTTTTGTTTTCACAATTTTATATTTGATATCATAGTGACAATTGAGAAAAATAAAGTTTGTTACTTTTTATTATTAGTTTAAAAACTATTTTTTATGATTTAATATTATATTAGTTTAAGGTAGTTTGACATTTATATAACTTACAAAGTGATCCCCTGACAAGTCCAGTACCCACCTGGCACCTTACATAGTTATTATAATACTATTGACTACTTTCTCTATCCTGTATTTTACATCCCTGTGACTATTTTGTAACTGCCAGTTTGTACTTCCTAATCCTTTCATTTTTTTATTATCAGTTTTTAAGGAATACTTTTCTCATATGTGCTTAAGGAATGTTAATTTAGCTGATGACTTAAAAATTTGAAGAACACAGAAATAAATAAAGCTTATAAATATTGTTTTTTACATTATTAAATTATATAAAATTATGAAAATTGGTGGCAACAGTAGAGATTTAGATACTCACTAACCAGTTTCAACATGTGCTGACATTTTGCTGCTCTTGCCTTAAATTCCTTTTAAGAAATAAAATATAACAGGTAAAGATGAAAACTTCTCTTCCTTATTTCTTTCCCTGAGCCTCAAAGGTGATCACCATTCTGAAGTAGGTCTATATTTTTATGCTCTTAACTACATGTGTTTGTATCCATAAACAAAATATAATATTGTTTCATGGTTTATAAAAATGTGTATAAGTCTATCTTGACACATTGCTTTTGAGATTTGTTGGTTTTCAGATTTAATCATGTTGGTGCATTTAGAACGATCTCATTTATTCGAAGATGTTCATGTGCTACTGGGTAAATATATTTCAATTTTTTTTTTTTATCTATTGGTCTGTTAGTAAACATTTAGATCGCTTCCAAATTTTTTCTAAATTAAAGAATGTTACTTGAAATACCCTTGTATAGATTTCCAGTGGAGATGTGAGAGTGGGAATCTAGATAAATTCCTAGAAGTAGAATTGCTAGTTTGTAAGACATGTGCATTTCTTATTTTACTAGATATTGTCAAATTTTTTAATTTGGGGTACGTAATTCCCCACATACTCCTCAATGTTTGTGTTATTAGACTTTTAATTTCCTGCCAATCTTTTCTGTATAAAATATTGTTTCATATTATTTTCCTTTGTTGATGAGAAAGAGAATCTTTTCATATATTTATTGATCATTCTTATGTGAATGATCTATTTTTATCTTTTGCCCATTTGAAAAAATAGTCTTTTTCAAGTTGATTTGCATGATTCTAGGAAATTTGCACTAGGGATACTGGATCTTAAAAATTTTACATTACACTTGACACTAACAACAAAATAAAATGCTTTAAAAAAGATAGATTTCGTTGAACAGCTAAAAAAAATTTTGACTTTGCATGTATCTTCTCTTGGTAGGTGATTTGTCTTTTAATTTTCTATATGGCATCTCTTATTGCCTAGACACTTAATTTTGATGTGATTAAATTTTTAAAAAAGTTTTTAAAGTTTTATTTTTCATACTTATACTTTTAATCAGCACAGATTTAAATCTGTGAACTTGTGAGGTAAGACCTAATTTATTGTTCCTAATTTATTTAGGCTTACTTTACTATTTCATACGGATAGCTATCAGACTAGTATACCCTTTACTATGTAATACAGCAAGTTCTCATAGACACTGGTTCTATTTTTGAACTTGTTAATCTGCTCCAATAATCAATCTATTTATTTATGAATCACACCTGTTTATAAGTTTAATATCCAAGAGGATTAATATCCCTATCCTTATTCTTCTTCAAAATCTTGAATATGCTTGCATTTT